TAGTACTGTAAGTAATAGAATCTAATTCAAAACTCCAAGTATTCTACTATCTACCAAGTAGTTATCGATTCCCTGAAAGCCACTGAAGATATCGCGTTATTGCCTGGGCAGCTCGCTCAAGTATCATTTCGAGACGTCTGCTGGAAACAAGCCTGGGAGAACTATTGTTTTCATACGTTGATATTGGGATTTGAAAGCGTAATTTAGGTCATGATTGTACATACAATATAGATGTTGATCTCAAAGACGAGGCAGCTTTCTGTTCTTCCGTATGAGCCTGTTAATGGACGAACTTGTCAGGTTCAGCAGGTTGAAGATTATGAAAGAATGTATGGAGCTGGTTTCAATTGATTCCATGTTCTTATGGCAACCATGGTCAAGAATACATTGAGAAATTGGCAAGTTGAGAAAGTAAGCTTGAAAAGTCGATGTTTTGTGCATAGTTGTATATTCTTGGCAAGAATGTTAATGGAGCGAGATCGTTGACCAAGATGAATGGATATCTGGAGTTCAAAAGTTAAAAGATGATGACAGACTAAAGATTTTGTAGATGGCGAAAGTAAAGTTTTAACAATAACAGAATTCAAATATCTAAAACCCGGCGATATGAGGACAGAGTGATTAGTCTATTTGTCCAGCGGTGCAGCATAAGCATGCATGTATCTACCATTTCCAGAGGACTATACTACACTGGCTGGCTGGCTGGTTGGTCGGCCGTGCAAATCTTCATATGCATATATTTCACAGTCCGCTTGATACATTTTCTATCGTTCTAGATAACTCTCTCTATCATTCGTGAGGACTTGCAACCATAACACTTATGCACACTTTCACTCACTATCGAAATACTTCTTGACCTATTCCCCAAAATCTACTATTATCTCATACTTCTTTTACAATCTCAAAGTCTAAACTCCAACTGTTAAGATAAACACCGCTTCGAGCGCTACCAACCCCCAATATCCAGCTGTCGACCTACCATCTAGTGAAGTATCAGAGGTAAAATGGAGTTCTTTCACAGAAAGGTGTACGAGAGCATGAACATCTAGCGAATAGCATACCTCGAAATAAAATAGAAAGAAGAAGGAAGAAACAAACCCTTCAGACTCAAACTCCAAAGCTCAGAGAGAGGGTTGAGCGAGTACATATCAATACAATAAGATGACAGACAATGCATTCAAACACAACAAAATAAAAATAAGATGAAACACTCCCTCCATCACCCTCCATATATATAAATTTTATCTAGAAAAAAAACAGAACTTACATTCGCGACAACGGTAAATAAGAATCGATAGTGTACTATTTAATTCCCTGCTAAGCTAATCAATTTCACTTACTTTTCATTCTGCATTACCCACTTTTCCACTTCATATTCACTCCCCTTAAATTTTACTCGCTTCGCACTTTTACTCGCTCACTTCACTTCACTTCACTTCAACTATCTCATCCCATCCCACCTTACCCCATCCCATCTCTCACTCACCATTCAATTAACTTCTTCCACTCCAAAAAAACCCTCTCCCCCCCCCCCCCCAAAAAAAAACACACAAAAAAAAAGGGCCCGAACTGAAACTAAGCCGACCCGACGCCCAGAAACCACGACCCATTTACTGTACTACTAATGTCTCCAGGCTCACAGACATAGGCCGAGGCAGCTATAGTAAAACTTGACTATACTAGACTGGGATATACCAGAATCTCAAATATACCAGAAAAATTTCCTTATTTGAGTAATTTTTCCCTAATAATACAAGATGTTTGAGCAAAATCGGAATACCGAATACTTTTTTTCGAATCTGATATGGATTTTGATAATGAATTTAATTGAACAAATTTAATTGGCTATTATTATGTAATATCTTTTCGAAAATATTGGGATTTGAAGTTAAAATTTAATTAAAATATTGATTAAAATACTTAGGCTATTATATTCTATATCGAAATCTTGAACATATCAAATTTGATTAATCGAATTTTTCGTTTTAGTATAGTCAAGTTCTACTGTACACCATATATAACTCGCTTCTTCTTGGCGATATTTTATTGTGGAGTGGGGGTATATGTATGAGGAGTATTAGGGATGAGGGGTGGGTAGGTAGGTAGGTATTACTAGGTGAGTAGGTAGCTGTGATTATGACGATGATGATGTGGGATACTGGTTTATAGGTATATACCTAAGTATCCATATTGAGGAATTCTATCAATATAATAGACTAATAAATCAATAACTTAATAGCTTACTATCAACTACCAACCATCAACCATCAATTAACTCCAACATAAAATTACATCAGAACAATCTGACTAAACTCTATATACCAATTATCCAGATATCGATATGATATATATAAGATGACCATACTTAAAATCTCCATATGACAAAAGTCTCTCATTATCAAGTTACATATCGTACCTATTTAATCTTCCAACTCTCAACTCTCAAACAATCTCATAATCAAAACACGCGTAACGTAATTTATCAGCATGTGGGCCATATCAGCTTATAGGCCACTTTCACCTCAATTCATACTTTCGAATACAGATTATTCAACAACTATTATATCAATTAATTAAAACTATTAAGAATCTAATAATCTAGGATCTATTATATTGTTTTGACAAGTTCTTGAATTATAATCTAATTTTCCATATTTATTACAACATTTATTAGAAAATATTTTTTTATTAGGATTCCTTTTATTTTGATATTTACTATATTGAATCTAAATATTAATCTTTTATTGAGATAATATATTAAGAGTCTTTTATTCAATAAATACTTTTTCTTAATGTAATTAAGTTTTTTTCACATATTGATATTTACTTAATATCTCATTTACCTTTCGAAGTATACGAATCTCTATATTCAAAAGTATATTCTTATAAGCTAATCTTTTTATAACTTTAGCTAAAGCTAATATAATCTCAAATAAAGATATAGGGGAGCTTGATTGATAACAATTTATTCGAAATTTGATTAATATTGATTGAGAAAGAGCTTTAATTAGATTGTAAAGAATTTAAAAAACTTATTGATTTAGGTTGGAAGAGGGGGGGGGTAGGTATACAAATTCGAATATTTAATTTCGAAAGTATAGTTTCAAGATTAAATAATATTAAATCTATTTTTCTAAATCCTAATTTTATATTTTGAAAAGTGATTGATTTTTTGTATATAATTTTAAAAACTATAAAGAATTCAACCTTCGAAATATAATTAATATATGCTTTAATAAATCCATCAATTTGAATACTATATGAATGTTTCAGATTGTTAAAACAATCTATATTAAGTGGTTGAGTTAAATGATTTGAATACAGTAGTAAATACACATATTTAATATTATTCTCCTTATAATAATTCTGAAATGATATTGATTCATAACTTTCATACTTATCTAATATCAACATTCGATATTTATCCTTTCTTCAATTCTTAATATACTTATTAAAATATTTCAATCATTCTAAACCTGTCTTATTGTTTGTTTATCCATTAAATATAGATTTGATAACCTATTCCACAGAAAGATTTATTTTGATATACTAATTGGAAAAATGAACCTGTCCTTAAACCACTAGAAATAAGGGAATAATTTCACCCTCTCTATTTCCATATATTATCGCTATAGCCCATTCCCGATTGCTTGATTATACTGATTTACTTCTACTATATCTCTCAGCATTAATAACAATCATTACTGTACTTATAATCCCTATTATAAAGCCTGTTTCATTGAAATTATAAAAATCTCTATCCAAAATATTATATTTCGCTTATATATTTGCAATCAATCGAAACCAATCTTCAATAAACTTAGAATCTTCACAAAAAGCTCTTTGAAAATTATAAATACAATTAAAACATATCTTTAATTCAATTCAATACTTTATAAATTAATACATCTAAAGCTTCTCAATACATTTCGCACCTTTTGATTTAAGAATATAATTTACTATATCTTCTACACTCTTGATTTTAAATGAAAATCCTTTTAAATTTATATCAAATATATATTCGATAATAATATCCTCTTCTAATTCCAAAAGATTATAAGATTTATATTAATATTCTATACAAAAAATAAAATCATTAATTCTATACTGTAATATTGTGTTACGGGAGCTGCCTCTAGGGTCACGTGGAAGTGGCTAGAGATCTCTCGAGGTGGTTTAGACTAGACTTCAAGTAGGAATTCAATAAGGTTGGTAACTGGTTGCAATTCTCGTAACTATAGTAATGAAACTAATGATTGTTCTTGAGCACGAAGCTCTACATTGTAATGAAATCCCATTCTTTATATAGACCTTCGTGCTTTGTCCTGGTCCCTGGGACCTCTCCGATATGTTGGATCGTTAAGGATCGCAACGCGCTCCAGGAGCGCTGAAGCTCCTTGACGCTCCATCACGTGCGATTTATGTCATGTGACGCGGTGTGTTGGATGCCGTCGTAACATATTGTACACAGAACATTATACATTTTAGTAATTTTTTAAATACTTAGTTTTTTGTTTTTTTAAATAGTTTTAATAATAAAAAGTATACGGACTTCTTAATTATTCAAATTCATTATAAATCGTTGATAAAATATGTGTTGAAAGAGAAAAGTATGAATTGAGGTGAAAGTAGCTTATATGCTGATATGGCCCACATGCTGATAAATTACGTTATAGCAATCACATCACATCTTCCCACATCACATCTCCTCAAATAAATCACTCAACCACTCAATCCCAAAACCCATTACCACACACATCCAATCCAATCTAATCCAATCCATCATCAAAACAACCTCCCATCCCCCATCCCCCAAAATCTCCAACTCCCAACGTCCATAAAGAGAGTGTTCCCATCACAATCAATCACCATCCAGATTCTAAAACAAGACGAGCAAGATCGGGTAGCTCTTCACCTACAAAGATGAAGACGGTTCTCCGCACAGCTCAATCAAGAAGGCATCTAAAAGTCAGGTTAAGCACGCAGCTAGGTGTGCGTCAATTATATATCATTATATATCATTATATATCATTATATATCATTATATATCATAGTATATCATAGCCTAGATAGAGTCAATACAATGATATACACAACCGCTACCCATGAACCCCAGCACATCAAATAAAATCAATCACCATACAAGACCGTACTGAGAATATAAATTAGTGGACTTTTAATTTTAAGTGTCGAGAGGCGTTTTTTCCCTGTTACATCACAACACTCCCAAATTTCCCAAAGGCCAAATGCCGCATCCGCGTGGTATCATTCAATAACATTTCACTGCTCCGTTTGTCCCCCAACGCGCACATTATCATGTACTAACATATAACATCATCTTATTCAACCATTTATCTTCATCTACCAGGAGTATTTGCGCCCATGAAAGGACCACCAAATGGATTCAAAGGTTCATTTTGTTGTCCTTGTTCTTGATCCCCACCAGGCGGTGAAGGTTCTAAATTTGTTGGATAGAACTGAAATGCGGGATCGGTTGTATTTGAATTTCCTATGTAATGATCCCATTGTTCCTATTTCTCAATCAGCATTTCAGTTCAATGTAAGATTCGGACATAAGTGTTTGAGAACATGAACTTACCCAGTCGAGATTTGCTGGTAGATCCATCATTCCAGGAGCATTGCCAGTATTGCCGAAGATGGAGAAGGGAGATGCACTAGCGTTCATGGTGGCAAAAGGGTTCAAACTGTTGTCAAGTGAGAAAGGGGTGAGACCAGTTCCGCCAATTCCACCTGATTCACTCATATTCAGATCCATGTTTGTGTATCCTGTAGATTGGCCCATGCTATTGAACATTGCCGCCGAATTTGGAGACAAGCCACCAGAAAGCATACCGAGAGTCATAGCTGCTGATTGTTCAGGCTTAAGGTTCTCATCATCGAATTGCGAAAAAGCTTCAGCTGTATTCACAGGTGTGGCAGAAGTATTGGCGCCTGGTTCCCTAGAAGCCTTCAATTTCTCGAGAACAATATTTAGGGTTTTGGATGCTTTGAATGACTCCATAGATTCTTCCACGGTTTCACTCCAGATACCCTGGGAAGTTTCAACTGCCTTGAGCATATCGGCAAGTTGTTCTTTAGTCCAGAAATGTTTGTCCGGCGGACAAATGGTTTCATAATGTAGATCCAAGCATACTATCATGCCGGCCAGTAGATAGTCGTGTTTGGTAAGAGTTGAGATCGCCCATCTCATTGATCGCAATCGTCCTCCGGGCTGAGATTCAAGATGAAGTTTGTGTTGATGACGAAGAATTTCCATCGCAGCATTGACACAGGCTCGACGGGAATGATCGTAGCGAGAATTTTGTCTCGCTCGTGCAAGATATTTGCGATGAAGAACACACATAGTCTTCTGCCATAGAATATCTACGTTGAACCTATTCATCAAGAGCGTTGCAGGATCATGCATACATTCTTCCAAGGGCCTGAGTCGAAGATAGGGAGCAAGATTACGTTTTAGTTCCCATAACTTATTATCGCGGGCAAGGACATCATCATATGAAATGCCCTTAGGATTGACACTTTGTATTTCCTCCAATATACAATTGAGTTCATTGGCTATGCTGATCTTGGCGAGCATGTAAGATACCGGAGTAGGTTCAGTATTTGGTCTCGCGGGTGGTAATATTTTCGAATCTGGACCGAATTCATCCTCAAATATGTTGCGAGGAAGTTTTGTATCACAGTCGCTATCACGGATCAAACTTGGGAGTGCCAGTTGAAAGGAGAACATTGTGTCCATGGCGCGCACAAATCCCCATAGTCGACGACGCATCTCCCCATGGAAGACGGTGATACCAGGAAAGTTGCTTGGATCCCGATGATAGCCCATGCGCATTGACAGTCGAGTGATCATGCCGATTATGACCCAAAGTCCCACTTCAGCATCCCAACGGCTCGCATACTCGCCGTGTACGTATAATATTAGCGTTTCAATCGTGTAGAATGATGATTTTGTGTAATCGGAATTGACAAGACACTGGACCGTGCGTTGTCTGAATTCACCAGCTATGTCGAGAGAACGACCTAAATATAACTTAGCATCATGTAAGAAGTTCGATGTAAACAGAACAAGAAAAGCCGATCACAGGAAAAGCAAACAAGGGCTTTCTACCTTTCCACTCCGGCGGTTCATCCCCAATTTTTTGGTATGACTGCATGGCCAAACAGAGGATCGAATATAAAAGGCCTATCCATACTATCGAAGTTTTTGTGGGATCTTGCCAGTGGGTTTGCAGTTCCTTGTGAAAAGTCGGGGCATGTATGATATGTATAGCGGGATCGTATGTGTTGAAATATCTAACAAAGCATTAGTTGATCTTTCTTTCTTTCTATTGTAATGGCTATGAACGGACCTGGTGATGAGTCTATCGACCTCCTGTTTTGTAGGAACTGCCATTCGAAGCTCTTCATCTGTAGCCGGTGTATGGGCACCGAATAGAAAGGCCGGACCATCACTGGCAGGTGGCTTTTGGGATTTGATTTTTTCGTAATTATTTTCGAGTTCCTTTTTATGATTATTGAAATAGGCTTTGACTTCTGCGATCTTTTTGACAAATTAGTAACGAATTGTGATCCACATCAGACCTGCAGAGAACATGAACGAAAGACGATGATTGAAAAACTGCTCGACATTGCCCAATGTCTAAAGTCATCTTGTCCGAATATTTAATCGCAGAGGCTACTCTAGCGAGTTGCATATTTGCAGATTTGCATTGGTTCAAAGAGTTCGTGATGAAAGCACGCGACGAGTAAATAATTGAATGCCACAACATACATCTTTTAAAACTAAATGCCAATGTGAATCTCCTAAATATGTTGTTTTTCCTTTATCGACATCAACTTTCATGATACCTAGTGAATTAGCAACACCATCCACATCACTATCTTCATCACCCTCTTCTGCAATCATGTCATCATCGTCTTGGTCCAAATCGGGTGGAAAGGATGAACCCGCACTATCGCTCTGAGAACGGTTGATGGCAGCGGCTGCGGCGGCTGGACCTGCAGATGAAGCACCATTTGTCATCAGTGATAAGACTAAACCTTCTAAGCGGTCAATACGATTTTGCATATCATCAGGACTGGTTGAGCCTTGACTTTGGGTTTTCTTTCGTGTTCCTGGTGCAGCATATGAGCACGAGGAAGCGTCACCTCTCCTCGTACAATTCTCACATGGATGCGACCTGTTACATTTCAGCCTGTTTCGTAAGACGGATTAGCAAATCTGTGCTTGATGGCCTAGATTTTGATAGGATAGAATGTATTGGACTCACTTTCTGTGCCGGCAAGGCCCACATGACAGAGGAACTCTATTTCTCTTTCTTACCACCCGGTATTGCTCTTCTGGAGATTGAGCTCCGGCGCTTGAAGAAGTAGTAGAAGGGGGCGTAGGAGTCATGATGATAAATTATTATTGATTTGTGAGGAGAAATTGAAGAAGCAAGCCCGGGCCAAGATTATGTTTTACTCATAAGCTCACAGGAATGGGCCCTGTCCGAATACAGTTTAACTTTTTTTTTAACCAGTATCTCACCACCGGAGAGTCGGTGTAAGCCGGGCTTTCTTGATGCAAACGGCCAATGAAAAGAGTAACACAAGGAGGCGATGTGTCTTGCGCCGAGACGATCAGCTCCGGATTTGATAGGTGAAGTAGCCCGTTAGCTCGCTGGAGAAGAGAACGAACGGACCCTATTGGCAACGAGTGGGGAAGATAGAGGTATAGATGCAGGTGACAAACAGCTTTATGCCCACTCGGCAGTGTTTGACTGCACTAGAATCTCAGATATAAATTGGTGCCCCCTTTTCAAGAGTCTAGCTTTGGCGCCTGATGACTTAAAATGACAGGGCAAAGTGACTTGAACTTCCCTTCTTGTCAAAGTGTAAGATGGCAAATTCGAAAGTATGATCTTCCTTGAATCCAGGTCTCCACCAATATTCTTCTCCTGCCAATAATCTACCAGACCCTGTAGAGTGTTCACGACCGTCCCCGAGTTCTCACGCACTTTCCCCGGCAATCAAGACCAACCATGCAAAGTATAAACAGCAAGCTTCGGTCCAGATCCAACAGCAAGTATTACTGATGTGCTCGAGGATGACCAACGATCGGTAGCGCGAAGTCGAATAATTAAGAATAGAAATGACGTCTCCCCTCTACCTTAGCCTTTGCCAACGACTGAAGCGCAAGCTGATAGCCGGTATGGTTAAAGGAAAGCCCCCGCAGATTTGAGATATGAGTTATTTCGTATCGTCTTTCGGGGAGGCCGACGAGCGAAATATCATCTATTGTATCGTGATTTGTGGGGAGAACGACTCGGATTGTTTAGGAAGGGTATATTATATCACACGCAGTATAGAATATCAATTCAGCAATCGCATATTCTGTAAGAACAGTCAGTCAGACGTTGCACCCAAACCAATGCGGGAATGTTCAACCAGCATCCTACTCACAAGGGGGGTAGACTCTGCCTGCGGTCCAGACAAAGGCTTTGGACACAGGCGCAAATCAGTACAGAAGCTTGAAAGGATTGCCACCAAGGGGTTATTTGATTTCCAATGATTAAAATATGAAGTTTAGTAATCTTTCAAAGAAACGAATTCAATAGAAATCTCTGCAAAATGTTTGCGACAGGAGATATTGTAAAAACGAATTGAGGTTGTTGATAAGTGGACTGTCAAATGATAAATGATAGTTAATTAATAAATGATCGTCTCAAGCTACACAGTAAATGGGTATTGTTCACTGGATAAGGCTGGCATTTTGGGACTTGGCCACCCCCGCCAAAATGGTCCACCATACCTGGGCTTAAATGGGCTAGCGGTATGTGCCGAAGAGGTTAACGTTTTCAATTTTTGCCCAGGAATACGATCCGTACGTACGTAGTCGGAAGATGTTGTGTTTGGTTGCTCTACAGCAGGTTGTGAATTCATCGACCAAGTACTGGGTAGGTCGTCACGGGTGAGATGGAGATGTCGATGATGATAAGTGCACAGTAACAGGAAGGTTGATCTCGGTGATGTAATTAGTCGTTTGAACTGATGAATCTAGGTACCTAGGTATGTATGTTATTACTCTGGATATCCAAATTCCCCTTGATTTGAATCAACCATTCAGACATCTCTCTTCTTTCATCTAGAGCGTTCGAGACAGAAGAAAGGAATTTACCACACCCTACGCGCTTTCAGCTGATGTGATGAAGCACAGAAACTGGTTCAAGCCAGTCAGTCCATGGGTTACTAATAAACGCCGATGACTCATAACTTTCCGTTCGGTTCAATTTATATGCTGACTAATACTAATTACATACTACCCAGTAGGTACTGGTAACGTGATTTATCAGTGTGCGGGTCATATCAGTATGCGGGTCATTTTCACCTCAATTCACTCTTTCTATATTATGTCCGGTTTTTCTGTATTTATTATAGTATTGACTAGAAGATGCTTTTTCATTAGAATTCCTTCCTTTTTAATATTCGTTATGTTGAATTTGAATATCAACCTTTTATTGAGATAATATATCAAGAGCTTCTTACCTAATAAATACTCCTCCTTGATATAATTAGATTTTTTTCGCGTGTTGATGTTTGTTTAATACCTCATTTGCTTTTCGAAGTATACGAATCTCTACATTCAAAAGTGTATTCTTATAAGCTAATCTCTTTGTACTTTTAACTAGAGTTAATATAATCTCAAATTTAGATATAGGGGAGCTTAATTGATATCGGGTTATTCAAGATTTCACTAAAATTGATTGAGAAAGAGCTTCAGTTGGGTTATAAGGGGTTTGAGAGATCTATTGATCTAGATTGAAAGAGGGAGGGATAGATGTACGAATTCGAATATCTAACTTCGAAAGTACAACTTCAGGGTTAAATAGTATTAAACCTATTCCTTGAAACCTTAATTTCATATTCTAAAAGATAATTGATTCTTTATATATAGTTTTAAAAGCTATAAAGAATTCAATCTTTAAAATATAATTGATATATGCCTTAATAAATTCATCAATTTGATCATCATATGAACGTTTCAGATTGCTAAAACAGTTTACATTGAATGATTGAGTTAAATAACTTGAATACAATAATAGACTTAAGTATATAATATCGTTCTCTTTGCAATATACTTGAAAAGCTCTTGATTTATAACTTTCATGCTCATTTAGTACTAATATTCGATACCTACCCTTTCTTTGATTCTTAGTATACTTATCAAAGTATTTCAATTATTTTAAATTTGTCTCATTGTTTATTCATCTATTAGATATAGGTTTAATAGCTTAATCCGCAGGAAAATCGGTTTCGATATACCAATTGAAAAGATAAACCTATTCTTAAATTACTAAAAATGGGAATATAATTTCACCCTCCTTATTATCATATATGATTACTATAGCCCATTCTCTATTGCCTGGTTGTATTGCCTTGCTTCTGTCATTTCGTTCAGTATTAATTACTACCATTCTGGAGTATATTATATTCATCATAAAGCTCGTTTCATCAAAATTGTAGAAATCGCCATTCAAAATGCTATATTTCGCTTACATATTCACAACCAATCGAAACCACTCTTCAATAAGCTTAGAATTTTTACAAAAAGCTCTTTAAAAGTTATAAACATAACTAAAACATATCTTTAATTTAATTCAACACTTTATAAATTGATATGCCTAAAGCTTCCTAATATGCTTTATACTTTTCAATTCAAGAATATAATTCACTATATCTTCTACATTTCTTAATTTAAATGGAAATCCTCTCAAATCCATATCAATTATATATTCAGAAATGATATTCTCTTCTAGTTCTGAAATATTATAAGATTTAGATCGATATTCGGAACGGGAAGTAATATTATTAATTCTACACTGTAATATTGTATTCAAGATATTATATATCTTTACAACCTTTTGAATACTTGTTTTTTTGTCTTTTTGAATAGCTTCGATAGCGAGGAGTATACGGGCTTCTTGATTATTCGAATCCATTGTGAATTGTTGATAAAAACGCGTATTGAAAGAGAATAGAGTGAATTGAGGTGAAAATGACCCGCACACTGATATGACCCGCACACTGATAAATCACGTTACCTGTCCTGTCATCAAATGTTACCACACATACAATCATATGTCAATTTACTATCAAACTCTTCATTTATCATTCTGCTAACTCAACTTATTCTATAAAGACATTGACTTTCTCTGATATCCACAAATGTGTCTTAAGCCCGATATCTCCGTTAGTATAATTTAACCTACCCAAGGGGCCCCAACGCCAAAATGGTCCATTTATTAATTACACTCCAATTTTCATCGGGCATGATACAACAACAACAACACATGTTCGCACATCGTAAGTTTCATCCAATGCTATCTATTTCATGGACTCCAAGAATTCCAATGGGAAAAGGAAAGCAACAGATCGCAAAGCAAGACAAGGTATGAGAATTCAATATAAATATCATCATCTCGAACACTCAAGTCATGGCAAGCTACTCGAGTATTTCACAAAGTCAAAATGCACACCAATATGACCTTACCTTGAAGATGCACAACTTGGAGCAACGTGGGCTATTTTCAACCACTGCTTACTCATCTATACATTGTCAGTTGCTCCCGGTGAGGACTTGCTAAGTTGCAACACCAGCTTCCAGTGACTATTTTTGATACCTCTTTCTGGTGGGGTCTGCGCCAAGCAAAGCAAGTGACAAAATATCATCACCTTTATCGTTCTGAATTGCTTTGGGCAATCAAATATTTCAGCTTTATCTCCTCGCTAAGAACTCAATCTACTCAGATGAAGCATCTATTTCTCAAAGAGTCTCAATGAGAGGGCAATCACCGAAATCTGACTTTGTCTGTTCACTACCTAACAGCTCGAGCATCGAAGGGTCAATTGTACAAGAGTCATCTCAACAACTCACAAGTGCGGAGAGTCTTACGTGATATGCATGTTATTGGAGTAATAAAGGATGGGGAAAGAAATCTCGTTCAAAAAACTGCCAGCTTTCGAACCTTGCTTATGATCAGGGTTGGTTTGGTGGATCAGGCCAACAGTGGGAATTCCTTTACAGCCATGGATTTTGAGCAAAACATCTTACCTTTCCGCCTCGCACCAGCCCTCATCATCCCAGAAATCACCTTGTTGTTTATCTCGCAATCAACACGATGCTTTGATCACATTGAAAACGATATAGACAGGCAACTTTACACAGGAGGGTTACCATCTTGCATCGAATCTTGAAGGCACGCAGCAAACGAATTAAGATATCAGTTGCTTCAATGCAATTTCACCTACCTAGCGGTAGTAATACTGCTTTCGGTTTCGATATTCTCTAACCTCTTCTCGACGGCTTTCAAAATTATATCTTTAGCCCTTCCTGGCATTATGGTCAGGACACATAAACAAGTTACGCAATAGTAAAACGCTCTAGCACGACATGTTGTCGCACGAATTGTCGGCGAAATACCCGATAGTAAGTATGGTGAAAGGACAAGCGAAGATAGTGTAGTAGCCATTAAATAGGTACGCACAGTTAGCAAAAATCATTGAGGGTCTGAATTGGTTGCTAATGGAATAGCTAGGTGGTCCTGATGTAGATATGGAGCGAATCCTGAGGTCTTGATTTATGTTGGCACAAACGACGTCCGTTACTCAGCTCTAGTTCTTGCTGCAACTAAAGCTGGCTCTACAATTCGTATGATTCATTTGCTATTTTCTAATTTATTTTTGCAACAATTCTGTGCTGACGACCATATCACTCTCAAATCTTTGTCACTTCCACTCGCAACAGCCTAGCGGAACACTTTGTCTTATTTGATCACCTCAAATGCCAGACTGATTACTTAAAATCCCATCCCACCCCTACCCATAATATCCTTGATGCCATAAAGCCATTGCATCACTTTATGGTGTCATTGGTTGAAGAACTTCTTAACATGCGGTATCCACATTGCGTATAAAGTAAGACTTTCGAGAATTTGAAACGAACCCCTATCGTCATCAAGTAAGCATTTCAAAGATTCTTGATTTCCCCAATGGGTGGCTAATCCATCCCTTCCCAGTCATACATCTGGAACCACTTGGTTACCCCAGCCTCTTCTTTGAACACATGAAACATAAACTCAGGTTGTAAATGATAATGTCTGCGAGGTACCCAGCAAAATTCTTTCTATTCACGATAGCCTCATAAAAGGTAAGTGAGTGGTAGTAACACGTCGATCATTCCATGCAGTTGCTCTATCTAACAATAGAGCAAATTTGATGATTGGCCAGGCGGCGCTTCTTGCTCAATTATTGTCGGTGCTATTCCCTACGAAAATTTTGTGATTGCTCCCGTTGCGGCAGCTATCCCGACGGCTCGAGGAGTAGTAAATGCCCTTATGTAATTTCTGACTGGTGTAGCGATTCTTTGTAATCTTATCATCTGTAGTAGTAGATTTAGCTCAGGGAAAAAAGAAATTCTCTTGTTGTCTGCTTTTTGATCGATTGGGGTGGAGATGTAACAAAATTCTTTATTGCTGGAGATGATGGAGCTGGAAGTTTGGCTGAATAGGTTGGGAACAAGAGGAAGGAGTAGGGAGAATGAGGTTGAAGGTGATGTGGGAAAGAATCCGATTGTGAAATATAATTGATTTTTTTAACTGTGTTGTAGAGAGATGGAAAATTTGACTATGAAGGAATAGGCTGCGTATAAATTATCTATACTCATAGATTATCTACAGATAATCCGCT